CTCAAGAATTGGCACGAACGAAATGGGTGCGGAAAGAATGGGTGCAATGCTCAACAGCCGCGGCCCGTGTCCATTCGAGACAGACGGCCGCCTGCCCAACAGCGGCCGCTGTTGGTTTGGGACAACGTTTGTTGTTGGGCATTGTACCCATTCTTTCCGTACCCATTTCTGGCGTCCACAAAAACAAAATGCCAAAATGTTTGGGGACGATGTTTAAAATGTTTTTGTTGAGCTATTTTTGAATATTTGTGACGATCAGTTTTCTTCCAAAATCCGCTTGTTGGAGGACCCGCCCGACCTAAAGTTTGATTCACTAGGGTGACCCTTCCAAACCAAGGCTGCCCCTGTGTCCTCTGTTTCGCGACCCATGCCCTCTTTATTCCGATTGTAGCGTGGCCTTCGGAAGGGACCTGTGTCCTCTCGCGTGTCCCCTCTGGTCAAACTCGACTGTACGATGCGAGGCCGCCGTAGCCGCAGCCGCGGGCACCTCATGCAGGGGCAGCAGGGCGCTGTGGGGCACGCCCTCTCCTCGTCGTGCTCCTCGGGCCTGGCCCGCCTCCCCGCCGCTCCCGCGGCCTTCCCGGATCTCCGACGATCTGTTTGGTGCAATCTGGCTGTTGTTCTTCGATCTCGTTTCACGGGGCCTGTTACCAGGGCCCAGGACCATGAAAAATGGATTTGGGGCGAACGTCTACCCCAAGGGATGCGGCCGGGACCTCTGGGGCCGCGGATTGAAAGAGACAGATCGGCCGATGATTGGGTTTACTGCGTCCGCTCATCCTGGCTGCCCACTCCTGCACTCGACTGCGTACTCGCATGCGTGCGTGTGTGTGTTGTGTGTGTCTTCAGCATCGTCTAACCGAGCCCGATCCCCACTGAGCCATGGGATCTCAGCCCCACCAGCCAACCCTCCCAGGTGGGGCATAGGCCCCCGACGGGGACAACACATATCCCCATCTAAGGGAGTTAAGTCGGCAAGTGGGCCAAGGCCTCGCCAGTGTGGACAGGGATCGGTTTGAACGATGCCCAGCTTGGAGTGCTTGCGCGCGTGTGTGTGGTGTGTGTGTGTTGTGTGTTGTGTGTTGCGCGTGTGTGTGTGAATGTGAGTGTGAGTGTGTGTGTGTGTGTGTTTGTGTTGTGTGTAGTGTGTGTAGTGTCTGTAGTGTCTGTAGTGTCTGTAGTGTCTGTAGTGTGTGTAGTGTCTGTAGTGTCTGTAGTGTCTGTAGTGTCTGTAGTGTCTGTAGTGTCTGTAGTGTGTGTAGTGTGTGTAGTGTGTGTACTGTGAGTACTGTGTGTGCTGTGTGTATTGTGTGTCGTGTGTGTATTGTGTGTAGTGTGTGTGTGTGTGTGTGGTGTGTAGTGTGTGTGTGTGGTGTGTGTGGTGTGTGTGGTGTGTAGTGTGTGTGTGTGTGTGTTGTGTCAAGTGTGTCTAGTGTGTCTAGTGTGTGTAGTGTGTGTAGTGTGTGTAGTGTGTGTAGTGTGTATGTGTAGTGCGTGTGTGTGTGTGTGGTGTGTAGTGTGTGGTGTGTGGTGTGTGGTGTGTGGTGTGTGTGTGGTGTGTGTGGTGTGTGTGGTGTGTGTGTGGTGTGTGTGGTGTGTTGTGTGTGTGGTGTGTAGTGTGTGATGTGCGTTGTGTGTTGTGTGTTGTGTGATGTGCGTTGTGTGTTGTGCGTGCGTGCGTGCGTGTGTGCGTGTGTGTGGTGTGTGGTGTGTGGTGAGCGTGTGTGTTGTGTGCGTGTGTGTGGTGTGTGTGTGTGGTGTGCATGTGTGTGTGCGTGTGCGTGTGCGTGTGCGTGTCTGCGTCTGCGTTTGCGTCTGCGCCTGCGTCGGCGTGTGTGTGTGTGTGTGTCGTCGTGTGCGTGTTCGTGTGCGCGTGCGCTTGCGCGTGCGCGTTCGCGTGGGCCTGCGTGTGTGCGTGTGCGTGTGTTCGTGTGCGTGTGCGTGTGCGTGTGCGTGTGCGAGTGCGAATGCGTGTGCGTGTGGGCGTGCGTGTGCGTGTGCGTGTGCGTGTGCGTGGGTGCGTGCGTGCGTGAGTGTTTGCGTTCGTGCGTGCGTGCGTGCGTGCGTGTGTGCGTGTGTGCGTGTATGCGTGTGTGCGTGTCTTCGTGTGTGCGTGTGTCGGCGTGTGTCTGTGTGCGTGTGTGCGTGTGTGTGTGTGTGTTTGCGTGCGTGCGTGCGTGTTTGCGTGTGTGCGTGTGTGCGTGTGTGTGTGCGTGTATGTGTGTGGTGTGGGTGGTGTGCGTGTGTGTGGTGTAAGTGTGTGCGTGTGTCCGTGTGCGTGTGTGTGTGGTGTGCGTGCGTGCGTGCGTGTGTGCGTGCGTGCGTGCGTGCGTGTGTGCGTGTGTGCGTGTATGTGTGTGTGTGTGTGCGTGTGCGCGTATGTGCGTGTGTGTGTGTGCATGTGTGTGTGCGTGCGCGTGCGCGTGCGTGAGCGAGGGCGCGTGCGAGTGCGTGTGCGTGTGCGCATGCGTGCTCGCGTGCGCGTGCGTGTGCGTCTTCGCCTGCGTCTGCGTCTGCGTCTGCGTGATCGTGTGCGTGTTCGTGTGCGTGTGCGTGTGCGTGTGCGTGTGCGCGTGCGTATGCGCGTGTGCGCGTGTGCGCGTGGGCGTGGTTGTGGGCGTGGGTGTGGGCGTGGGCGTGGGCCTGCGCGTGGGCGTGGGCGTGGGCGGGGCCTGGGCCTGGGCCTGGGCCTGGGCCTTGGCGTGGGCGTGGACGTGGGCTTGGGCGGGGGCGGGGGCGTGGGCCTGGGCCTGGGCCTGGGCCTGGGCCTGGAAATGGGCCTGGGCGGGTGCGTGGGTGGAGGCGTGGGCGTTGGCGTAGGCGTGGGCGTGGGCGTGGGCGTGGGCGTGGGCGTAGGCGTGGGCGTGGGCGTGGGCGTGGGCGGGGGCGCGCGCGCGCGTGCGTGTGTGCACGTGTTGTGTGCGTGTGCACGTGGGCGCGCGCGCGCGTGCGCGTTCGTATGTGCGTGTGCGTGTGCGTGTTCGTGTGTGCGTGCGCGTGCGCGTGCGCGTGCGCGTGCGATTGCGCGTGCGCGTGCGCGTGCGTGTGCGTGTGCGCGGGCGTGTGCGCGTGCGTGTGCGTGTGCGCGGGCGTGTGCGCGTGCGCGTGCGCGTGCGTGTGCAAGTGTGCGATTGCGTGTGCGTGTGCGCGCGCGCGTGCGTGTGCGTGTGCGCGTGTGCGTGTGCGTGTGCATGTGGGTGTGGGTGTGGGTTTGGATGTGGGTGTGGGTGTGTCTGGGTGTGCATGTGGGTGTGTGTGTGTGTGTGTGGGTGTGGGTGTGGGTGTGGGTGTGGGTGTGGGTGTGGGGTGGGGGTGCGGGGGGGGGTAGGGATGGGGCGTGGGGGTGGGGGCCCTCTTGGGCGCCTCTTGCGTCGTCCAGGGGCCCTCTCGGGCGCCAGTTGGAGCGGTTTGGGGCGATCTGTGGGCCTTATTGGGCCTTCTTGGACGCCGGAAAGAAATTCAAAGCCCATGCGTGAAAAATACCTGGTTTCTGTTGGATGTTGACGACTCGTGTTTATTCGTGCGCTCGTGAGGATCCGCGTGGAGGAGCAGTGCTGGGCCGTCTCGGGGGCCTCTTGGGCTGTCTTCCAGCTGGGCCGTCCCAGGGGCTTCTGAGGCCATACTGGAGCGACCTGTGACCGCCTCGAAACCGAAACCATTCAGAGCCCAGAATCATCAGGTGTAACTCGGGTCAGGGCTAACTCGGGTTCGTTTTTCTGGAATCCGAACCCGAGTTATCCCGGACCCGAGTTACCCCGGATAATTCAGGCGTCCAGAGCCCCGAATCATCAGGGGTAATTCGGGTCAGGGTTAGCTCGGATTCGTTTTTCGGGAACCCAAGCCCGAGTTACCCCGGACCCGAGTTACCCCGGATAACTCGGGCGTCCAAACCATATGAAGCGCCTCCATGGCCCCGCCGGGGAGGGCAACACGGGCGCGGGCCCCTCGGAGCCGCCGTGGACGCCTTTGGGGTCCGTCGTTGGGAGCTTTGGCGCCGTTTGGGGGCCCTGTCGGCTCGTCTGGGGGCCGTTTGGGGGCTTTGGCGCCGTTTGGGGCCCGTCGTTGGGAGCTTTGGCGCCGTTTGGGGACCTCTGTTGGCATCGCTCGGACGTGTGCGTTTTTTCCTCGGCGAGGACCATCGAGGAACATCCTTGATCATTTGGCGAGAAAGCCATGCACGAAACCGAAAAAAAACACAGGGAATGGACGTCCGAGCGATGGCCAGTTTTGGCATGTTGAAGAAGGGCGGGCGTCAGAAATCCTTGGACGGGAGCATGCACAGTGATGGTCGCCAACGACGGGGCAGCCCGCGCCCAGATATGCGTGGACCACATCGTGGTGCCAACGGCCACCATTATTCTAACATGCCCACTGCCGTGCGCAGCCATCGCAATACAAAATGCCCTGGGACGGCAGGGGGCTGGTCGCCAACGGACACACAACCTCCACCCTGCCACGCGTGGACCACATCGTGGCGCCAACGACCACCATTCCTCTAAGATGCAGACTGCCATGCGAAAAATTCGGAGTCTGTGTCATTGGGCTGGAGCACGCAGAGTCGTAGCCGCCAACGACGGGACAGCCCCCTCCCAGCAACACGTGGACCACATCGTGGCGTCAACGATCACCGTTCTTCTTAGATGCCTACTGCCGTGCAAAGTATTCAAAATATGTTACAGATGGCCGTGGAAAGCATCTTCAACCGCAACCTCTTGCCTCCCTCCTCGGGATTGCATTCCGAAAGGCTCAAGCGCAGAAGCGGCGAAGGCGATATGAGAACAGATGCAACGACTGATCCGTCTACTCCATCTCCTCCGTGACAGGCGGACACGCCAAATCTGTTCAAAAACGTCACAGGGGGGCCCAGAGGCACTTCAGAGGCCCCAGGAAGCTCTTCAGAGGCTCCAAGAGGCTCTTCAGAAGCCCCAAGAAGTTGTTCAGAGGCCCAGGAGGCTCTTCAGAGGCCCTAAGAAGTTCTTCAGAGGCCCCAAAAGGATGTTCAGAGGCCCCAAGAGGCTCTTCAGAGGCCCAGGAGGCGTTTCAGGTACCCCTAGAAGCCTTACAGAGGCCCCAGGAGGCTCTTCAGAGACCCGTCAGAGAGGCCCGAAGACCTGCCCCGCTTCACTGTTCTCGGGGATTCGTACTCCGAAGAGCCCTTGGCCGTGCTAAAGTCCACCGGGCCGTAGAAAACCCCGTCTGGCCGCAGTAGAACCTTATCTCGGGGTAGGGGTGGGGGCGGGGGTGGGGGTGGGCGTGGGCGTGGGCGTGGGCGTGGGGGCGGGGGCGGGGGTGGGGTGGGCGAGTGTGTAGGTGTGGGGGTGTGGGGATGCGGGGATGTGGTGGTGTGGGGGCGTGGGGGTGTGGGGTGTTGGGGTGTGGGGGTGTCGGGGTGTGGGCGTGTGGGCGTGCGTGTATGTGTGTGTATGTGCGTGTGTGCGTGTGTGTGTGTTGTGGGTTGTGTGTCGTGTGTTCTGTGTTTTGTGTTGTGTGTTTTGTGCTATGTGTTCTGTGTTATGTGGTGTGCGTTGTGCGTTGTGTGTTGTACGCTGTGTGTTGTGTATTGTGCGTTGTGCGTTGTGTGTTGTGTGCTGTTTGTGTGTTAGGAGTTGTTTGGGGGGGTGCGTGCGTGCGTGGGTTTGTGTGTATGTGCGTGTGCGTGTGTGCGCGTGTGTGTGTGTGTGCGTGCGTGCGTGCGTGCGTGCATGCGTGCGTGCGTGCGTGCGTGCGTACGCGTGTGTGTGTGTGTGGGCGTGTGCGCGTGCGTGTGCGTGTGCGTGTGCGTGTGCGTGTGCGTGTGCGTGTGTGCGCTCGTGTGCGTGTGCGTGTGCGCGTGTGTGTGCGTGTGTGTGTGCGTGTGCATGCGTGCTTGTGTTTGTGTGTGTTTGTGTCTCTGTGTGTGTCTGCGTCTCTGTGTCTGTGATTGTCTGTCTGTCTGTCTGTCTGTCTGTCTGTCTGTCTGTCTGTCTGTCTGTCTGTCTGTCTGTCTGTCTATGTCTCCGTGTGTCTGTGTGTCTGTCTGTCTGTCTGTCTGTCTGTCTGTCTGTCTGTCTGTCTGTCTGTCTGTCTGTCTGTCTGTCTGCGTGCGTGCGTGCGTGCGTGCGTGCGTGCGTGCGTGCGTGCGTGTGTTTGTGTGTTGTGTGTGTGTTTCCCCCGGCACCCCTCGTCGGCTTCACCCCCGTTCTTCCCCCGCGTTCCCTTTGCAACTAACCCCTCGCGGACGCGGCAGTCCTGTCCCCCTGTGGGCGGATCCAGCTCCTCCAAGTTGCGTGGGCTGGCCCCGCCCGCGCGCCTCTCCTTGATCCACCCTCAACTGCGCCGCGCCGCTGCACGCGTGGACGCGAAGACAAAGGGTGTGCGCGTTTCTTCCAGATCGCCCGCCGCCCAGCTTGGCGACGGCCTGCCCCTCCCGTGAAGGCCGGCGCTGCCGCCCCCCCCCCTTCCGGCAGCTTTTTGAAAGTTGCCGCGCCACCCTTTGGCGCACCAGCCTCCGGTGCCCGAGGCCGCCTGCACCCTCGTGGCGATGCTTCTCTACGCCTGAGGCCCCCCTCCCCGCGGCCCTCCTCCGCGGTCGCCCTCCTCTTCCCCTGGTCGCATTGGTGCGCCCGCCGACTGTCCGGCAGCGCTGGCGTGCGCCCTCGCTCCACGAGCGGCGAAGGTGTCCATGCCCACGCCCTCGCGGTCTGGACTCCAAGGCAAGGCCCCGCGGATGCGCGGCCGCACGGATGCCTTCCGCGCGGGGCGCCCGCGAACAGAACGCCTCGCATCCGCGGGGTCGCCGCCCAGGGGCCCAGCCCACGAGGCCGCGGATACGGATACCGTCGACCCGCATTGCAGGCATGGGCATCCTTCCCAAGGGTCCCCTGGCATCCCTGCGCTTCGGCCCATCCGTTGGCCGTTCTCGCCGGCCGCGCCCCGCTCGCGGAGCGCCGACGTGGCCCTTCGAGACCCCTGCACCCTTCTCGCGCGCCCTTCTGATACAGTCGGGGCCCCGAAGAAGAAACCCTTTTGGTTGGGGAGGGGCTCCGCGTTCCTCAAGTGTTTCACAGCTTGCCTCAGGTGTTCCTTATGTCTTCGATGGGAAATCGAAGTTTAGATTGTGGAAACAAAGGGGCCCCGTCCCTTATCTAGGGTTCCTTAGGCCAACGCCCCGACTGCACGGGCCGACTGCACGCCTGTCTTCTTCGCCCACGGCCCCGGCCCCCCCCCCCTCCCCGAGGCGCCCCGCAAGGCTGGGCCCCCGCCCTGCGCGAGAGGCCGGGTGGACTCCCGGCCGCCCGCGGCGGCCGCGGCCCGAGGCGCCGCGGGGCCGAGCGGGCCGCGGGCCGCGGGCGGTTTGAAGGGGCCCTGGGACACACCAAAAAAATACACACTAATCAAAAGATCAGCCATATTTTCCCCATATTTTCCTGGGTTCTCGTCTTCCCCCCCCCCACTTCCCACAGTTTCCCATCTCTTCCTGGGGATCGACGATGACTTGTGTCTGCGTGTGTGTCTGTTTCTCCCCTCCTGACGGTGGTCGGGCCGCGGGCCGCGGGCGGGCTCGCTCCTGGGCCCCAGACCCCCTCGAGGCATGATCAAAACATGTGTGCGACGGGGGGCTTTTCGCTACGTCCGGCCCGTGGAGGCCCCCGCCAGGCCTCGGGGCCCCGCGGAGGGGATGCGAGGACACTCCAGCTCGGGCAGGCCTCCGGAGGCAGGCTGGCGGAGGGCAGCCGGCTCGTGCCGGCACGGCGCGCGGCTCCGAGGCTGCGTTCTTCTCGTGTCCGACACCCGACGTTTCTCTTCTGGGGCGTCGTTTGCCAATTTTGTTGTACGTTTTTGTCCCAACCATCCTGTGGTGTTGGGTCCTCGTTTTGAAGAGACGTCGCCCCGCGTTCCTCTCCTCCTCGTCCTCCTCCTCCTCCTCCTCCTCCTTCTCCTCTTCCTCCTCCTCCTCCTCGTCCTCCTCCTCCTACCCCATCCTCTCTCCTCCCGTCATCATCATCATCATCATCATCATCATCATCATCATCATCAGCATCATCATCATCATCATCATCAGCATCAGCATCAGCATCAGCATCAGCATCAGCATCATCATCATCATCATCATCAGCATCAGCATCAGCATCAGCATCAGCATCAGCACCAGCACCATCATCATCATCATCATCATCATCATCATCATCACCATCACCATCACCATCACCATCAGCGTCATCGTCATCATCATCATCATCATCATCGTCGTCATCGTCATCGTCATCGTCATCGTCATCGTCATCGTCATCGTCATTATCATCATCAGCATCATCATCATCATCATCAGCATCATCCTCATCATCATTGTCATCATCATCACGACCGTCATCATCACCAGCATCATCACCCATGTCGGCACACCCCTCACACGTTTCGTGGCCCCACAGGGAGCTCAACCGAAGGCCCCAGTGCCACCGCCCGCATGCATCCCCCACGCCCATGTCGGCACACCCCTCACACGTTTCGTGGCCCCATAGGGAGCTCCACCGAAGGCTCATAGGGAGTCCCACCGAAGGCCCCAGTGCCACCGCCCGCATGCGCCCCCCACACCCATGTCGGCACACCCCTCACACGTTTCGTGGCCCCATATGGAGCTCCACCGGATGCCCCAATGCCACCGCCCGCATGCGCGCCACACACACACACACAATTCGGTACATCCCTCACACGTTTCGTGGCCCCATATGGAGCTCCACCGAATGCCCCAATGCCACCGCCCGCATGCGCGCCACACACACACACAATTCGGTACATCCCTCACACGCTTCGTGGCCCCATAGGGAGCTCAACCGAAGGCCCCAGTGCCACCGCCCGCATGCATCCCCCACGCCCATGTCGGCACACCCCTCACACGTTTCGTGGCCTCGCAGGGAGCTCCACCGAGTTTATCCGTGAGGCCTGACCTGAGGAGCGCCCCCCCCGAGCCGCGCCTTCTTTCGACTGCCCAACTACTTGTTTGGCCTCGCGCCGCGGACGACCCGCGCGCGTCGCTGGGACCTTCGCGGGGCGACCAGCGCGCGTCGCGGGAACGCCGTGCTGCGTTCTTCCCAGCGCCTCGCTCGCCCGTCGTCGCTCTGCCCAGCGGTCAGAGCCTTGCCCGCTATCAGCCAGCCAGCTCTAGCTAGCTTTCTTTGCTCCTCGCAGCGGACGACCCGCGCGCATCGCTGGGGCCCTTCCGGGGCGACTGGCGCGCGTCGCGGGGACTCCGCGCCGCGCTGCGCCCGCAGCTTTGGACTTTGGAACGCGCGGGCAAAGAGGGAGGAAACTAAGGGAAGGAAGCGGGCGCGATCCTCGTGAGGGGCGCGCCGGCATGGGCGTCGCGGCGTGCGGGCGCTGCCGCCAGGGTTCCCGCGGAGGCTTTCTGCGGCGGCCACGCTCAGTGTCACGAGTTCACAGACAGGCATACCCGAACCATTCACATTCATATACGTGCACACGAGGCGTAGCCATGATCGCACTCGTGCAAATATATTCGCTCGCACGCAGACTCATTCACACTTAGACTCGCTCGCGCTCAGATTCACCCGCGCTCAGTCTTTCGTAATTAGTCCAATCGTATTCCTTCGTGTCGTGTGCCCCGCCACATTTCGGCACGCCCCTCATACGGTACTCCATACGGTCGGGTCCTTCGCCCGGATAATTTTCTGACGAGAGGAAAGGGCCAACCAGACGCCCACCTCTCTACATGCAGCGGCTTTCCAGCTCGTGCCTCGCGCCACGGTGGCAGGTGCACCGAGCGCGGGCCCAGGATTAGGGGGACGAGCAATGACGAAAGAGCGCTTTCTGGCGCCACTGGCATGGGGGGGAGGGGTTTCCAACCCCCTCCACCTCCCCCCCCCCGCACCAGGAGCGGGGGGGGGGCGGGAACAGGGGGGACTCCCCCCCCCCCCTGAAAAACCAAGGGTGGGGTGCAACCCCCCCTCCCCCCCCTCCCTGGGCCTTCCCGGGGGGGTTCGAACCCCCCCCCTTTCTTACTCGCCGCCGGCCGCCGCCGCCGATGACGACGACGACGACGACGACGACGACGACGACGACGACGACGACGACGACGACATCACATTCTTGCGCCAGGGGGGGGGTCGAACCCCCCTCCGCAGGCTTTCCCAGGGGGGTTCGAACCCCCCCCTCCCCCTATTCGCCGCCGGGAAACGACGACGACGACGAACGACGACGACGACGACGACGACGATGACGAACACGACGAACACGACGAACACGACGAACACGACGAACACTACGAACACGACGAACACGACTAACACGACGACGACGACGACGACGACGACCTCGACCTCGACGACGACGACGACGACGACGACGACGACGACGACGACGACGTCGCAGATCTGCGCCAGCGCCCGTCCACCCGCGTTGGAGAAGGAGGACGAGGGAAAGGAGCGGGGGAGGCGGAGGAACAGCAGCGGAAGGGGGTTGTGGCTCATGGGTGGGAACGGCAAAGGCGAGAAAACGTGAAGAGGAGGGGGAGGAGAAGGAGAAGGAGAAGGAGGAGGAGGAGGAGGAGGAGGAGGAGAAGGAAGAAAAAAAAGGAGGAGGCGGAGGAGGAGGTGGAAGAGGAGGAGGAGGAGGAAGAGGAGAGAGGAGGCAGACTGTATACGCATAAGACTGTACTGTCCCGCCCGCCCGACCCGACCCGTCCGATAGGGTCCGCCCGCCCGACCCGCCCGATAGAGTCCGCCCGTCCTGGCACGCCCGTTAAGGTGCTCATGTGTCATGCTGTATACGCATCAGATTTTAGTGCCCCGCCCGCCCGACCCGACCCGCCCGTTAGGGTCCGCCCGCCCGGAACGCCCGATAGGGTCCGCCCGTTCCGACCCGCCCGTTAGGGTGCTCATGTGTCGTGTTGTAAACGCATCAGACTTTAGTGTCCCGCCCGCCCGAGCCGACCCGCCCGATAGGGTCCGCCCGCCCGACCCGCCCGATAGAGTCCGCCCGTCCCGACCCGCCCCGCCCGATAAGTTTCGTTCGTCCCGACATGAGTCACCATGTATACGCATCACTCTTTAGTGTCTGGCCGCCAGACCCGACCCGCCCGATAGGGTCTGCCCGACCCGCCCCCCGCCCGATAGGGTCCGCCCGTCCCGACCAGCTAGTCAGGGTTCTCATGTGTCGCGCTGTATACGCATCATACTTTGGTGTCCCGCCCGCCCGACCCGACCCGCACGATAGGGTCCGCCAGACCCGCCCGATGGGGTCCGCTCGCCGCCCGCCCCGCCCGATAGGGTCCTCATGAGTTGTCATGGTGTATACGCATCAGACTTTAGTGTGCCGCCCGCCCGACACCACCCGCCCGATAGGGTCCGCCCGCCCGACCCGTCCGATAGGGTCCGCCCGTCGTTGTCGTCGTCGTCGACGTCATCTTCGTCGTCGTCGTCTTCGTCGTTGTTGTTTTCGTCGTCGACGTCTTCGTTGGGGTCGTCGTGTCGTCGTCGTCGTCGTCGTCGTCGTCGTCGTCGTCGTCGTCGTCGTCGTCGTCGTCGTCGTTGGCGACTGCCACCGGCGTGTAGTAGTAGTAGGAAGGAGGGGGGGGGTCGAAACCTTCCGGGGGGGTCCATGGGGGGGGTTTCGAACCCCCCCCCTCGGCGCAAGAATGCGCCGTCGTCGTCGTCGGGGTCGTCGTCGTCGGGATCGTCGTCGTCGTCGGCGGCGGCGGCGGCGGCGGCGGCGGCGGCTGCTGGCGGCGAGAAGGGGGAGGGGGGGGAGGGGATTCGAAACCCCCCGGAGGGGCCTGGGGAGGGGGGGGGGCTCGGGGAGGGGGGGGGGTCGGACCTCCGGGTTCTTTTTGGGGGCGGGGGGGAGAATCAGGAGAGGGGGTGGGGGGGGGGCGGGGTCTCCCCGGTTTCCGACCCCTCTCTCAGCAATTCTTGTTCGGGGAAGGGGGGGGAGCCCTCCCCCAGTTTCTTTGATCCCCCTTCAGGGATTTTTTCAGCACAGCCGCGGTGGATGACATGAACACAAAAGCTCGGAGGTCCGCGCGGATTTCTCGGATCCGCGCTGGACCCCCCTGGCGGCGCCTCCAGCGCCGCCCTTGGCGCGCTCCGCGACGGGAAATCCGCGCGGACCTCCGAGCTGTTGTGTGCATGTCACTGCTCGTTCCCCTGAGGGTCAGCCTGGCCAGGACGGGCGGGTTGCGGAGGTGGTTGCGGCAGCTCCTCGGCAAGAGGGACTGCCGCGGAGCCTCGCCGAGGCTTACTCGGGGGCCCCGCCGAGCTGGGCGGCTTTCGGGGCTCGTTTCGGGGACCTTCCCGTGGGCAGC